GCGTGCACGTTCTTGTTCCGTCAGCAAAGCGAAAAGCTCACAATAAACAATGTAGTTGAACACCAGATTTAGTCAGTGCTCTCGCCTCTCCCATACAGGTGATGTTAGTTGATCTAGCAGTTACATCAGAGATCTGAATCACTTCAGGCTTTTCTCCCACATTGAGCTGACACGCCGCGATATAACTGTAATACTGTTAAAAGCGGCGTTAAACCCAACTCACTCACTATGTAATCGCTGTGTATGATGGCTTGTAAAACTAAATTTTAATAATAAATCAAAAACACGCAGTACGACAGCTGTTGTTGTATGTGGGCGTGTGGGCGTGTGGATATGTGGATATGTGGGCGTGTGGGAGTGTGGATACGTTGGCGGGTGGGCGTGTGGATATGTGGGCGTGTGAGCTCATGGGCGTGTGGATATGTGGGCGTGTGGATATATCTGGGCGTGAGGGAGTGTGAATATGGATATGTTGGCGTGTGGATATGTGGGCGTGTGGATATGTGAATATGTGGGCGTGTGGATATGTGGATATGTGGCGTGTGGATATGTGGATATGTGGGCGCGTGGGCGCGTGGGCGCGTGAGCGCGTGGGCGCGTGGATATGAGGATATGTCGGCGTGTTGGCGTGTTGATATGTGGGCGTGTGGGCGTGTGGATATGTGGGCGTGTGGATATGTGGATATGGGCGTGTGGATATGTGGGCGTGTGGGCGCGTGGGCGCGTGGATATGAGGATATGTCGGCGTGTTGGCGTGTGGATATGTGGGCGTGTGGGCGTGTTGATATGTGGGCGTGTGGATATGTGAATATGTTGGCGTGTGGATATGTGGGCGTGTGGATATGTTGATATGTTGGCGTGTGGGCGTGTGGATATGTGGGCGTGTGGGCGCTTGGATATGTGGGCGTGTGAGCTCGTGGGCGTGTTGATATGTGGATGTTTGGGCGTGTGGGAGTGTGGATATGTGGGAGTGTGAGCGTGCGGATATGTGGGCGTGTGGATATGTTGGCGTGTGGATATGTGGATATGTGGGCCTGTGGTCGTCACTGGGATTCCACGATGGTGTGTTGCGTGTGAGTGAGATTGTGTGCGCATTAGAGTTGTGCTTAACATATTGGTGCGATCTAAAGCATCACACACTACGATTTGCCCTCGGTTCCAGTGGTCAGACACTGTCTGGGCACGTGGGCTTATGACGTGAAATGGACAGTTACGGACCTATGATGGTAATGGAGGGACATGCTCCATGCATCAGGAAACGCCCGGGGGCTGTGTTTGAGTTATTGGTTTGCTGACCACAAATGGTCACGAATTGTTGGCCACCAATCGGACAGCTGCTGACCAAATGTTGCCGCAGGCAGATTGATAGTTGACCCTGAAACGACAATGATGATTGGACATTTACTGACTAACACGTTCCGACGGCTGACAGATCATCACGCATGCGTTAATGCTCGTCACAAACACATGCGAAGGCACATCAATTGTTCATCTGCATCAGACGTTATTCCTGTCTCTGGTGCGTCAAAAATGCCTGTCATTAAACGTTTTGAAAGAATGATTAAGACATAGTATGAGATAACCTTGCTGATGCAACGTTTGAGCATGAGTCGTATTGTAAATATTTGTAAACAGAACATGATCAGTAGTCCCTCAAAAGCTGTGGAATGTTGTTACCAAAGGTTGAAGCGGGTGGGATATTGCTCGACATGACACTGACGTCATTCTTCTTGTGTAGGTTTTTGCCACTCTGAATCTTATATATACTCACCGACAAAAGAAACGCGAATATCATACATGTTGGTTAATATATGAATTATTCATATTCAAGAGATATTAGATTGTCCGATGCAGAAACGAACATTCTGTCATGTTGTGTGGACCGGGGTAGAATCGGCCTTCAGAACCCATGCTTGCCGTGAAAGGCGGATATGCTTGTCGTAAGAGGCGACTAAAAGGATCGGGTGGTCAGACTGACTGACTTGGTTGATGCATGTCATGGTATCCCACTTGCGTGGATCGATGCTCATGGTGTCAATCACTGGATTGTCTGGTCCAGACTCGATTATTTACAGACCGCTGTTATATAGCTGGAATATTGCAGAGTTGAACAACAAACAGGCAAACAGAGATGCACCATTTGTCTCTCGCAGGATAAGGAATCATGTGCAGCACATCATGATAAGAATATAGACTCTGTGGTCACACTCGCCTGATTGTGAGTTTTGTCACTAAGTGGAACACAATGGAAACATCTCTTCTTAATGTACATACTTTTCTGTTTGTTCCTGTGGGTCGCGCTTATATTGGCGGTGAGTATATTCAAGAATTGGAACATGAACTTTCACAGAGGGAGGTCCTAACTGAATAAAATTCGTAGCTTGCGAAGTGGCTGCCGCTAAGTGTGACTCGTGGCATTAATAATGAACAATACAATTTCACTATTTTATCCCTCAAATGATCTTCATTTAGTACGTATGACTCCATGTTTACACCGCATCGTCTCAAGAACCAGCTGTGACGCGGAACAAAATAGTACAGTAAACTACATTTATAACGAACACGCTTATAACGAACTGACGGATAAAACGAGGGGGTCCCGTCCGTTTGCGGTATGTATGTTGTATGTATGCTCATAACGAATTTCGGTTATAACAAACTAAACTTAGTGGTCACTTTGTGTTCGTTATAACCGTAGTTTACTGTACTCAAAAGGAGTGGCGAGCAGAGCGAATGTATGCAGTGGCACTTTTTGTAGTTTGGTTACCAGATACATTTACAGGTTTGATGTTCGTACAGAAGCGTAGCGTACATGTAGCTTTGCCACAACTACTAATAATATTTGTTTTATACGTCTGTAAGTTTTTCACATTTCCTGAGTGACGGTCGGGTAGGCTAGTGGTTAAAGCGTTCGCTCGTCACGCCGAAGACCCGGGCTCGATTCCCAACATAGGTACAATGTATGAAGCCCATTTCTGGTGTCCCCCGCCGTGTTATTGCTGGAATATTGCTAAAAGCGGCGTAAAAGCGCACTCACTCACATTTCCTTACAGTCCGCCGAATAAATCTTATTCGAATAGATTTGAATATGTAAAAGGTTTCACGGCAGACAGTAGCCCAGCTCACCTGATCACCAGCGACATGGCGGCAGCCTGTAGCCTGCAGCCGTGACAAAATCATCCGCATCTACAACCAGATCTAGCAATGTGCTTTTGGCCATGGGAGCCGTGCCAGTTTACACTTGTCAGAGGGGTACACAAAGTACGTGATCTAGACTATCAGTTGTCGGACTTCGCTTTTGTGGAAATCTCGGTGTCTGAGTGGATTAGATCGCTGACATTGAGTGTTGGTAATGAGGTGCCTCATTCTAAGAGTGTGGGTTCGAATAGATGGGACTCAACCCAAAATAGTATTAGAATCTGTAATCTAGTAAAACAGTGTTATCCTAGATTCAGCATGTGTTACTCCTTACTCCTCCCTTAGAGTGCTGGTGCTGTGTGATCAAGCTGTCTACATTCAACATCACGTCGACCAACGTCAAACTCCTTCAACAAGTCTACTTGTGTTTATGAATATATAAGTTTTTAATTCAAAGTTTACACGAAATACGGCTTTTCGATTGGACGAGAGGTCGGTCACATGACGGCGAAATGGATGTTCATACATGTATAAACGACACAATTTGACGAGACCGTGTTTTGGAAATGACGTAAACACTGACGGACTACTTCCACCACTCCTTGGAATTCCCTATAATGAATACATACAGAAGCGTTGTTTCTGATCATTTAGACCCTATAATCCTGATATCGGCGTTTTAGTGTTCATTGAGAAACGTCAAAGAGTTTGACTGCATGATCGTTTACCAATATCTTCGCTCCGACCCATCCTTGTGAAAAAACCCGAAGAAATTCATATCCAAACTAATCCAGTATCGTCGCAAGCTCCGACGTTCTTGCCTTTCTGCCCTCAGTCTGTGGATGTTCATACTCCAAGGAACTCACACAAGGTGGAATCAACTTTTGTTGGAGCTCTCACCGTGCACTGTGTAGACCTATCCCCACAGACGTTCTGGTTCATGTACGATGTGTTGTCTACTATGGAGCCCTTGTGATATTGCTGGAATATTGCTAAAAGCGGCGTAAAACCATACTCATTCATTACAATAAACTGGTGCTGAGCATATCGGACTTATGCCCCCTATTCTTTGTACGTGTGTAACTTTGCATGTTTTCGTCATTTACGACAGGCAATTTTTTGCACTGATTTTATGTCGCTATACATAAGGATATAACTCCATTTGATATATATCTATGTCGTTCAGATATTAGCCCGTATTTTGCTATCTCACAGTTTCGGTAAAGCTGCTAAATGCGGAAAAAATTCCTGTTTTTCAACACAGAATAAATTAGTAGTCGCCTCTCACGGCAAGCATGGGTTTGCTGAAGATCAATTCTAAGCCGGATCTTCACGGGTCACATATGTATAGTGAAGATTGTGGAGTTTTTTGTCGATGCAGCAGATCAAAGCGGCAAAACCCTTTCCATATTCATTACATGATTAGAAATGCAGAGGCGAATGTACGATTCCGACGAATTCATGAGAGACCACTATAAAATCTGTTTATGGGGGCAGAATGTTGGTGGAATGTTGGTGGAATATTCTTATTGTGTTCTCACCTCCATACTCCTGTATCCAAGCGGTTTGAAGAACTGTGAGGAACAATTTGTCAAGGCCCATCTGTTCAGAAGTTCATTTTTCTTGACCCCTGTGACCCCATCAGACCCACGTCTCACAACTGCCATAAACTTGCCGCTTATCTTAATGGCTGCTGATGAGAGTTGCAGAGCTTGCTCTTTCTCTTGCTCCCACTCTTTATCCAGCCTTGCTATCATCTGTTGATAAGCCACCAGCTTAATACATCTGTACGACGTGTGAAACATGAGTCGTGGGTATATAGCCCCTGTCTCTATTGCTAACCATTTCCTCTACCAGGCAGCACTGAGCTTGAGGCTTTTAATTTCGTGCCCTTGAAAGCTGCAGGATCCCCGGACATTGTACGTGGAATACAACATGGCAGCTGACTACAGCATCGTCACCGGCTACATCAAAACGTTCAGTGTCGTTGACTACGTGGTATTTGCGGTGACACTGATTTTATCTGCCGCAATTGGAGTCTACGTGGCCATCAGAGACCGCAACAACGTCTCCACCAGGGAGTTTCTTTTCGGTGGACGCAAAATGCATGTGATACCTGTGGCTATGTCCTTGCTGGTGACGTTTCTCTCGGCATTGACGTTGCTAGGAACGCCAGCCGAAGTGTACAACTACAACACAATGTTCTGGTGGATATGTTTGGGTTATCTTGTGTCAGTTGCCGGGGCAACGTGGATTTTCATACCTTTTTTCTACAAACTTGGGCTTACCAGTATTTTTGAGGTTTGTACTGCATATTGATTTCTTTTCGTTTGAAAATAAAGGGCAGCATGGTACGGACACGATGTACGGTCACGGTGTGCGGTCACGGTGTACGGACACGATGTACTGTCACGGTGTGCGGTCACGGTGTACGGACACGATGTACTGTCACGGTGTGCGGTCACGGTGTACGGTCACGGTGTACGGTCACGGTGTACGGTCACGGTGTGCGGACACGGTGTACGGTCACGGTGTGCTGTCACGGTGTGCGGTCACGGTGTACAGTCACGGTGTACGGTCACGGTGTACGGTCACGGTGTACGGTCACGGTGTACGGACACGGTGTACGGTCACGGTGTGCGGTCACGGTGTGCGGTCACGGTGTACGGTCACGGTGTACGGTCACGGTGTACTGTCACGGTGTAACATATGTACACAGGCAATGTTATAGCTTCTTCTTCGCTGCAGTCAGAAATATTCCAATTCCCCAGCTGTGGGTGAGTATGATTTTCGCCACTTTAATCAATATTCCAGAAATGGGCTTCCACATTGTACCCATATGGGGAATCGAACCCGGGTCTTCCGCGTGACGAGCGTACGCTTTAACGACGCCCCAGTTGTAATAAACAAGCAGGTTAGTGGCGAAATCATATGTAACGATCTTCAAGAGCATGACTAATAACACCCGTGTAGGTCACAAATCTAACCACCAGATCACAAGCAGGATCCGTCGACAAAGACCAGAAACGGGCCACAGTCAAACAATGGTTTGCTATGAGAGGTTTGTCATTAGATGTCTTCATATACATGTATGTAGTCATTGTATGACGCTTGCACAGCTCATCAAGTAGTTCTAGTGTGTAATGTTAGGATCATACCGTTTCATACGGTATTTCAAACATGGTTTGTTTCGTATTAACTTCGTTTTCGCCGGATTCATAGATAATCAACAGGTATATGTATTGTGCAAGTCATTCACAACATTGGTGTACTATTTCCCTTAACAAAATACGGTTGCATGGTATATTGATGATGTTTGATTGAAAATAGTTTCTAAACATGCTTCTAAAAATACTACAAATCTAAACCGGAAATAAGCACACCACAAACCTAGATTTTAACGGAGCAGTACACAACCGTATCAAACTATATAGAACGCACATTCTCCTCCCATTGCTATGGTTACGACATGGCGTTTCCCCGCATATGGCATCATTTAACGGTAGAAATTAATGCCCTGCATCATTGTTTACTTGTCATCTGATGAGGGTACATTGCCACCGTCGCCATGGTTCCAAGCAGAAGGGGCCCGTGTGTGGGGTTGACATCGCGTCGGTGTCGGTGTCGGAGTCGGTGTCGATGTCGGTGTCGGTGTCGGTGTCGGTGTCGGTCCGTAATCCCGTGAGGTATCAGGTGACGGAGGCCGTGGATCGTTGTTACGAGGCGGTGGCCGTAGATCGTGGCAAGTGTCTCGTGGGAAAGTTGAAGTTCTCTGTGAATGATGTTCCTGTGGCGGCGGAAAGACGTTAATCAAGGGTTTATCAGTGAGCCAGCGGGGCTCCTGTCTCCCTGACGCAGCCTGATAACTCCACCACTTGAACGTCACTAATCTAAACACGTACATACTTACTGTGGAAATCTGATAATCTTCACATGAAATGTGCTATACGGTGTATAGATACACATTTGCTATTTCCTAGTCCCTACTCGATCTTTTAATAAAGGAATGGAGCTCAGACAATCTCGATATTTTCAGAAACTGAAAAAATGTAGATATGCATTTGGTCATTGACCGTGGATGTCTTTCCTTCAGGGTCTGACCGACGGTTGGGTTGGTGCATGTCTGCCGATACATCTTGACTTGTTTATCAATATTGATAATTGTTTTAGGGGCCTGTCATGATGTTGTGCGCAGTTGCATAAAAAGCAACCCTATTGAACAGTTGTTATGTATATATAACTACATCAACAGATAATAACGCATATATATATATATATATATATATATATATATATATATATATATAAAATATATATATGGATATAAAGAAGATGATGGACTAACGTGGACTTTATTTTTTTATTATATATACACACACACACACACACACACACACACACACACACACACACACACACACACACACACACACACACACACACACACACACACATATACACACCTCGAGGTCGACTGACAACGTATCATGTAATGAATGGTATTTTCATCAGTAGCGCCACAAGAGCAGGGTGGGTCATTTGAAATGAAATGAATTCTTTGATGTTTTTCTACAACATAATCGGAGTTGAGATTGTTCATCATTTCCTGGACACCTGGTATCACCACTAGTGATTCCTAAACACGACTATGATCAATCGGAATCGTAAAATGGACACGGCTTTTAACAGATACTTCTTAACACTTTTAAGAAGGTTCTGCTGCCTTTGTTGTATATCACCAGGCGTCTATACGGAACATCGATCGATGTCAATATTTCTTATGGAAAGCCGATCGATGTCAGCACGTCATATGGTAGACCGATCTGTGTCAGCACGTCATATGGTAGACCGATCGATGTCAGCACGTCATATGGTAGACCGATCGATGTCAACACGTCATATGGTAGACCGATCTGTGTCAACACGTCATATGGTAGACCGATCTGTGTCAGCACGTCATATGGTAGACCGATCTGTGTCAGCACGTCATATGGTAGACCGATCGATGTCAGCACGTCATATGGTAGACCGATCGATGTCAACACGTCATATGGTAGACCGATCTGTGTCAACACGTCATATGGAAAACCGATCTGTGTCAACACGTCATATGGTAGACCGATCGATGTCAGCACGTCATATGGTAGACCGATCGATGTCAGCACGTCATATGGTAGACCGATCGATGTCAGCACGTCATATGGTAGACCGATCTGTGTCAACACGTCATATGGTAGACCGATCTGTGTCAACACGTCATATGGTAGACCGATCTGTGTCAGCACGTCATATGGAAAACCGATCTGTGTCAACACGTCATATGGTAGACCGATCTGTGTCAACACGTCATATGGTAGACCGATCGATGTCAGCACGTCATATGGTAGACCGATCTGTGTCAACACGTCATATGGAAAACCGATCGATGTCAACACGTCATACAAAAAAACGATCGATATTCAAAACGTCATTATTAATGATCACCTCGTTTGATACGTTTATCAGATTTCAAGTGCGCTTCATTCGTTAAAAGCGGGACGGGGCTCTGTAACGACTAAATAAGGTCGACTGTGTATATGGCGCTTCAGTCAAGTGCACTTAGCTGCATTTGATGGAAAAGGAAGGTGTATTGACGTAACAATGTTTTCCCACGGAGCAATAATGCCACTGGGACTATGTTACAATTTACATGCATGTGTCAGATGACATAATTATGACGACGAGTCCCGCGTTTACTCCCAGATTTATATTTTGAATAAAACCAAAATAATTCCTGTACCATGGTATCTGATTTACCTCCATGGTGTGTCATGTAGTGTGCTGTGTCGTGTTGCAGTACCTGGAGATGCGGTTCGGACGGGCAATGAGACTGGCAGGTTCCCTCACCTTTATCCTACAAACGGTAATGTGCGTGTGTCTGTGTATGTGTCCACGTGTGTGTGTGTGTGTCTGTGTATGTGTCCACGTGTGTGTGTGTATCTGTGTATGCGTCCACGTGTGTGTGTGTATCTGTGTATGTGTCCACGTGTGTGTGTATCTGTGTATGTGTCCACGTGTGTGTGTGTATCTGTGTATGTGTTCACGTGTGTGTGTGTATCTGTGTATGTGTCCACGTGTGTGTGTGTGTATCTGTGTATGTGTCCACGTGTGTGTGTGTATCTGTGTATGTGTCCACGTGTGTGTGTGTATCTGTGTATGTGTCCACGTGTGTGTGTGTATCTGTGTATGTGTCCACGTGTGTGTGTGTGTCTGTGTATGTGTCCACGTGTGTGTGTGTATCTGTGTATGTGTCTACGTGTGTGTGTGTATCTGTGTATGTGTCCACGTGTGTGTGTGTATCTGTGTATGTGTCCACGTGTGTGTGTGTGTGTGTGTGTGTGTGTGTGTGTGTGTGTGTGTGTGTGTGTGTGTGTGTGTGTGTGTGTGTGTGTGTGTGTGTGTGTGTGTGTGTGTGTGTGTCTGTGTCTGTGTATGTGTCCACGTGTGTGTGTCCGTGTGTGTCTGTGTGTGTGTGTGTGTTTGTCAACTTTGTCTCTTTGATGACGGTGGGGAATTGTTCAAACGATGATACATGCATGAAACTTTGAAAATACTGTCACTTGCAAATCCAAGATGGTTGCCAGGATGGCTACTATGGAATAGCAGGGCTCTACGTACCTTCAAATAGCTAAACTATACTGATCTACAAATAGCAGAACTATACCGATCTACAAATAGCAGAACCATACCGTTCTACAAATACCAGAACTATACGGATCTACAAAAAGCAGATTGAACTATTCCGATCTAAAAATATCAGAACTATACTGATCTACCAATAGCAGAACTATACTGATCTACAAAGAGCAGAACTATACTGATCTACAAAGAGCAGAGCTATACCGATCTACAAATAGCAGAACTATACTGATCTACAAAGAGCAGAACTATACTGATCTACAAATAGCAGAACTATACTGATCTACAAATAGCAGAACTATACTGATCTACAAATAGCAGAACTATACTGATCTACCAATAGCAGAACTATACTGATCTACAAATAGCAGAACTATACTGATCTACAAATAGCAGAACTATACTGATCTACAAATAGCAGAACTATACTGATCTACAAATAGCAGAACTATACTGATCTACCAATAGCAGAACTATACTGATCTACAAATAGCAGAACTATACTGATCTACAAATAGCAGAACTATACTGATCTACCAATAGCAGAACTATACTGATCTACAAATAGCAGAACTATACTGATCTACAAATAGCAGAACTATACTGATCTACCAATAGCAGAACTATACTGACTTACAAAGGAAAGACTATTTTTGTTGGTTGTTCTCTGGAATATTTTGGAGCATGGCACAGTGACATTACACTCGGCATGATAGCAAGCACGCATATGTACACTGGGAACAGTGTGTGGAACAACATGTACATCTTTTAAGTTGAAATGGATTTTTTAAAGAAAACTCGGCAGTTATTTTGATAAATGGCAACCATCTTGGATTTTCAGTGGCTAACCTTTCTCTTTTCATCTAAGCAAACCCAAGGCGACCGCCCGCGCATATGTTAAAGTGTATATCGCATTCAGAAAAATTCTGCATGTGATTTGATCCAGTGACAGCAGGTATTGCTTTTGTTGCAGATGATCTACATGTCCTTCGTCCTGTACGCACCCTCCCTGGCCCTGAATGCAGGTGAGGCAACTCCAAGTCCTCGTTATCGGGATCAAAGTCCTTTACCGTATTCACTGCTTCAACCTGCGTTTTCAATGCATAGTTTCATATTGACATGATTATCGATGCTCATGATGTCAATCACTGGACAGTCTGGCCCAGATTGGATCATGTTCAGACAGTCGTAATAAAGCAGGAATAATGCCCAGTGCGGCGTAAGCCTATTTCAAACCAACCAACAAACGCAATGCACCCTTGTCCGTGTCTTACATCACTCACCCTGCTTCCTGGTACAATGCTATCATCACTCACCCTGCTTTCTGGTACAATGCTATCATCACTTACCCTGCTTTCTGCTACAATGCTAACATCAATTACCCTGCTTTCTGCTACAATGCTAACATCACTTACCCTGCTTCCTGCTACAATGCTAACATCACTGACCCTGCTTCCTGCTATAATGCTAACATCACTTATCCTGCTTCCTGGTACAGTGCTAACATCACTCACCCTACTTTCTGGTACAATGCTAACATCACTTACCCTGCTTCCTGGTACAATGCTAACATCACTTACCCTGCTTCCTGGTACAATGCTAACATCACTCACCCTGCTTTCTGGTACAATGCTAACATCACTTACCCTGCTTCCTGGTACAATGCTATCATCACTCACCCTGCTTTCTGCTACAATGCTATCATCACTCACCCTGCTTTCTGGTACAATGCTAACATCACTTACCCTGCTTTCTGCTACAATGCTAACATCACTCACACTGCTTCCTGCTACAATGCTAACATCACTGACCCTGCTTCCGGCTACAATGCCAACGTCACTTACCGTGCTTTCTGGTACAATGCCAACATCACTCACACTGCTTCCTGCTACAATGCTAACATCACTTACCCTGCTTCCTGCTACAATGCTAACATCACTTACCCTGCTTCCTGCTACAATGCTAACATCACTTACCCTGCTTCCTGCTACAATGCTAACATCACTTACCCTGCTTCCTGCTACAGTGCTAACATCACATAACCAGCTTCCTGGTACAATGCTTACATCACTTACCCAGCTTTCTGGTGCAATGCCATCATCACTTATCCTGCTTTCTGCTACAATGCTAACATCACGTAACCTGGATAAACCAACAATTGTTCCCAAATTGCTTTTACTTCGGTGGCAGATCGGAAGGTTCCTACTTGTACAGTGTACAGTTTTCTTGGCTTGTAGTACGTTTTCGTGACTTGTAGTACGTTTTCTTTACTTGTAGCACGTTTTCTTGACTTGTACGTTTTCGTGACTTATAGTACGTAGTACGTGATGATAGGTAGGGTAGGTGTACCCTTCACTGTACAAAGCAGCAGTGTTTCGGTCAATAAACCCATTGTTTAAGCACAGGAAATCATGGCAACGAAGCCGAAAATTGGGGCATGAGGGTCAAACGTCCGGCAAAATGGAGCAGTGATGGCGAGTGTAGGTGAACTTGTTCAGGATGGTTGCCTCTTCTCGTCACTGGACAGCGCCTGCTGTGTTCATCGTGCATCGGCTGGGTACCCGGTAGGGTGAGGTGGAAGCGTGAATGCAAACCTTCTTGACGTAACAGGCAGTTTAAGATCTTCTGACTTCTATGTATAGTATTTGATCAGTGACTCATGCAATGTTACAGTGACTGGGTTGGACCTGTGGGGCTCTGTGGCTGCCGTGGGCTTGGTGTCTACAATGTATACGGCCCTGGTGTGTGTTTCTTCAAATTGTATTTGCATGCATTGTGTTGTGTATATACATCCATTGTGTCGTGGATTACTTTAAACACATGTTCCATACATTGATTAAACCATTTTGTTTCTTGCGTGTGTGGTACGTGGTGCGCGTAGCGTGTGTGCGTGTGTGCGTGCATGCATGAGCAGTACGTGTATTGTATTGTGCAGATTCTCGGTAAGTTCACAAAATGTAATAATAAACTGCTAACGGGATAAATAGAGATCGCTTCCCTTAATTAGTTGATTTTGAGATTCAAAACATAATATTTTTCCTGCCAGGCAATGTAGCTTTGTTTTGTACACCAGGGCGGAATGAAGGCTGTGTTGTGGACGGACACCTTCCAGGCCGGGGTCATGTTTCTGGGGCTGATCGCTGTGCTCATACGGGGTTCCAGCGTCGTGGGAGGATTCGGGAACGCGTGGTCGATAGCGCACGAACGGTCCAGAGTAGTGTTTGACGAGTAGGTCGAGTATATTTAGAAACACAGGTGGCAATTTGTTTTATTAATAATCACCCCGGCAGGGTGCATGGATACGTGACATTGAAACGCCATGTCGCTTTGTAGATTGAAAATAAGCAGTGAATGTTTAGTTTCGTTCAAGTGTGCACGTGTGCAAATAACGTAAACAGTTCACACATGTGGGAGCCGTTCTGTAACGGCAACAGCTTAAAAAAAATGAAACCAAATTCCGGATATAACTGATTTCATTCGAAGCAAAACCTTAGCTATTCATATATATGTGGTGATGACTTTTATTAAGCAACTGCCCCATTGGGTACGTTTCGTTGTATAATCTCATAGAATGAGCAACGACTTCCGCTGATGAACATAAATCTTTTAGTGTATAGGTTTGATAATTCGTTTACATGATGAAGTAATGCAACTCTAACTTCCACACCCGCATCGACTGGATAACACAGAGATTATTAAGAAAATACCTCAATGAAATACAGGTGTGGCCATAGAGACGCCCGTTCTCGCTGATTACGCAAAACGTGACTCACGACAAACACATGCATTAATAATTCTATACTACCGTAATAAAGAACTCTCATAGATAAAATTTCATGTATCTTTTATTTCTGATTATCGTGTGAAAAGGACAGAGAACAATGTGAAGAAAAGGACAATTTATAAGAAGACAATACGGCCAAGTTAAGGCCCCATATATTACTTATCTCGAGCAGCACTGAAACCCCATATAACAATAGCCATCGTTTAACCGGGATATTGTACAGCTTTTAACAACAAACACACACAGACAAACGCACGCACGCACTACGTAACTTTATGTTAAGAGATAATGGAATAAAAGAAAACAAGCTGGATCATTTTTTAAATGTAATTGGACCCACGACACATTGCGCTAATATGGAAAAAATATCAATGCGTATTTGTCTTTTACTTTGTACATTATTACGTGTACATATGATTGTTCATAGATGATTCGATGACTAAGGCCATCGGTCAAATTAGTCAGATATTGTTAGTTTTGTATATATGCCACTGATCATTGTCTTTCTATCAATAATCACAAGTTAGGGCCAAACAGAATGTATTTATATTTCCAACACGACTTCAACAATAAGATCCTTGTTGGATAGCTTCGACCCTGACCCTTCCACGCGTCATTCCTGGTGGGCCTTGGTGGTAGGCGGCGGTTTCTTGTGGATGTCGCTGTATGGAGCCAACCAAGCCCAGGTTCAGAGAGCTGTTTCCTGCCCGAGCGTCAAGAAGGCGCAGTTGTGAGTATACCAATGTGACGTTCAACACTGCAGCACGAAAATACAGATTACTAGAGTGAATGACTGGTATTAGTTTAATGACGTCACGCAAAAAATGTATACTGACGGTGCGTCGGCTTACTGTAGCCGGCCATACTTCGGGTGGCATGGACCATCATGTTCATCTTCGCCATATCCATGATACAGTAAATATAAAACTTCAACGTCAGAGAATAACCAGTCTCGATTATATGCCGAGTCCATTGTGCGTAAGGTAAAATAGCAAGGAACATTATATGAATGGATCAGTGAAAATATTTAGGATAGCACCAGGTGTTCGCGGAAAGTGTAAGTCTGCCCTACCTGTAGCACCCGCCACTCCCACAATTTGCATCACAAAGTTAGTATGTATTGCCTGAGGCGACAAAACATTACCACGGCTAGGCGACGATGGACCGTAAACAAACCAGACAATCAAATGATGGACCAGACAGGACATCCAGTAACGTGGGAGCGTTATGTTTACCGTATGTTCATAATAAATTAGATCTGCTAAGTACAGGTATTTTGCTGCTTCTAGGTAAGGTTAACGTTTATATAATTAGGAAATGCGTTCGTTTTGCAACTCGGGGAGGGAGGGAAGAGTGTTAATGTCTAGGCCACAACCTCTCTGTTGTAGTTGACGCAGCATAAATGTTAAACGCTACTGAGCTTATAATGAAACTCTGGGACTTAAGTCCAGCAGCGCAAAACATCGACTCAATGTAAATCAAGCGATATTTTTCGCCATATACCCGATCCTGTAACACATCTCCAGCCTCTGTATCATCAACCAGAGCGATGCTGGTGAACATACCGGGACTCTTCCTCCTCATCAGCATTTGCTGCATGGTCGGAGTCGTGATGTTCGCCTTCTACTCCGACTGCCACCCCATCGGCTTCAACAACCTTATCTCCAGGACCGACCAGGTGAGGTAACATAATATATACCTATAGGGACGTCTCCTGCTGTTTTTACGGCGCTTTCGATTTGCAAAAATAACCTTCTTTTTACGTTGCTTGGTAAAAGAATACATGGTAAGATAAGTACACTACTAAGAAGTATGTATGGAAACGTAAAAACAACTGTGAGTTGTCGCAAAAATACTATGACTGATGTATTCAAAACAAGTGCAGGTGTAAGACAGGGATGTATACTATCACCACTCCTCTTTATCTTGTACATTGATGCACTTGTGAATGATATCGTGAACCCTGATTGTAGTTGTATTTGTGTAGACGAAGTTGTACAGACACTACCGATGTTACTATTAGCGGATGAAGTTGTAATATACAGCAGATACAGCAATGTATTCAGCTGAGCAGTTTATTAGTACATTTAGAAATATACCTGTTGAATCGCTGTTCAGGATAATTGATGGTTAAATACAGCCAATATTGATGTACGGCTCGGAACTTTGGGGAACCAGATATCGCCACAGTAATGAAAAGATCCCTACAACATTTTGTAAAAGTGTTCTTGGCGTCGGCTACCTGTCAGCAAATAAGGCAAGTTCATGATTACCTTAGGGATATAAACTGATCCTCAGCTTTTAGGGAAATTCATTTTGTCGCATGGATCTGCATATGTGTGGATATCCAAGGATGTTGGAAATAAAAGTGTGCCCTTAGAAATGTTTCAACAACGGTGTAAAGAAATGTATTGCCACGGCTGGTGAGCTGACATCAAATGTTCGAAATGGCGACATGTTTATTCCATGTTTATGATAGATATAACACACAAATATATTTATCAACTACTCGATCTGTTTACTCAGATGTTTAACGGAATTCAGGAGTGATATGCATGTACATACCCTTAAAATAGATATGGTGTACTTTCCCTCAATATGCAGTGATATAGTCATTCCAAAGATAGAGATGTTTTGACATCGATGTGTCCACAATGCAAATAGTACCAAGATGATGAATACCATTAATATGTCCAGTAAATGAAGATGTTAGAATCAACTATACTATTACTATACGTATCCAACACAAAGAACATTGTACAGTTATTGAACACCAAAAATGGCCACAATCTTCTCAGACTTGCACTGTTGGTAAGAAAGATGATACATTGAATATTAATAAAACTCAAATGTGTACGTCTGTTCAGATCCAATATACAAGTGGTGCTGCACGACCAATATAATTGTTTCTACAACAAAATGTCATTGTAATATTGGCCTCTCTGACTGTCTGTGTTCAATGACATTAAAATCAGATCTAAGTTATCGCTGACGCTTAACAACGATCTGAGGACATCCAATAACGGGCCACGTTCTGTGCAACACCGATCTGACCTGACCCATAATGTGATGTCCTCAAATCTTTGTTTAGCCACAGCGAGAACTAACATCTATCTTTAATGAGATTGGTCTGTTGTCAAACAGGTTTATCTCTTTGACAGACAGTTGGAACTGTATTGTGTGAATGTGTATCTATTTTCTAGTAAAAAGAAATCATGGTTAAGATAAGAACAATACCTTAAATTCATTGACTAGAAGTGGACCACTTTGATTTCAAAGAAACGGATTAAATATCAGTTTTAACGTAACCTGAGTTTAAAGCTTTAATTTTGGCAGACAAACAGACAGATAGGTTTTTTTTACCTCTATAAACAGATTAAAACACATACGACTGTATACAGACAGACAGACAAACAAGTATATACGATTTAAACCAATACCATGTTGTTATCCATAAATAATCTCTACTTTGTCATCTGTCAACTTCTAGTTAATGCATATTCAAACAGTTCAACCCTTAGTATATTAAACATTGGGATATTGCACGGATTGTCGTTTTGGAAAGTCAGGTCGAGTGATAATGTGAAATTGAACTGTTTCGTCTATGCTCGAGTCGGTTACGGAAACATGCGAGTGGTGACGAATGTAATATGTGGACTGTCCCTTATTGGAGATATATTTTAAGTTTGAACACAATCTACGTAACATACTTTAAAATTCTAACTTAAGGAAATTTGCGGAATCTATTTTATTGCTGTTTGATTGAGCATGCGACTTTGAGGCGGTGATAAACACAATGACTTTCAGAATTCATTTCGAGGCTACATGTACGCAGGAAGAGGTATTTTACGTCCGTTTCTTGGAATGTGTGTGTAAAAACTCAAAAGTGCTGATAAATGTTTTTTCAGGTTTTTACTTGGCTTTAAATCTATTTAAAACACCTTTCTTCGGGTCTTTTACCCTTTGGTTTCTGTCGTTGTCCGTGGGTCTGTTTACATTGTCAACCAATTCCCGTGGGCTTGTTGTGTAGTTTACATAATGTTGTACTGTTTGTTGTACTGTTATATGTGCTGAAGTGCTGCAAAACTACAGGTGTTACATTGTTGTTACATGTGTTATATGTGTTACATGTTCTGTGATGTTGTTACGCGTGTTACCGGTAATGTGCTGTCGTATACGTGTTACATGTCCTGTGCTGTTGTGGCACGTGTTACAGGTTCTGTGCTGTTGTTAAACGTGTCACAAGTGCTGTGGTGTGGTTGCACGTGTTACAGATTCTTTGCTGTTGCTAAACGTGTTACAAGTGTTGGGGTGTTGTTACACGTGTAACAGATGTTGTCTTGATGTTACACGTGTTACAGATATTGTGTTGTCGTTACACGTGTTACATGTGTTGTATTGTTACACGTGTTACAGGTGTTGTATTGTTACACGTGTTGCAGTTGTTGTGTTGTTGTGACACATCTTACAGGTGTTGTATTGTTACATGTGTTACAGGTGTTGTATTGTTACACGTGTTATGCTGTCGTTACACGTGTTACAGGTGTTGTATTGTTACACGTGTTACAGGTGTTGTATTGTTACACGTGTTATGCTGTCGTTACACGTGTTACAGGTGTTGTATTGTTACAGGTGTTGCAGTTGTTGTGTTGTTACACGTGTTACAGGTGTTGTATTGTTACACGTGTTATGCTGTCGTTACACGTGTTACAGGTGTTGTATTGTTACACGTGTTACAGGTGTTGTAGTGTTACACGTGTTATGCTGTCGTTACACGTGTTACAGGTGTTGTATTGTTACAGGTGTTGCAGTTGTTGTGTTGTTACACGTGTTACAGGTGTTGTATTGTTACAGGTGTTGCAGTTGTTGTGTTGTTACACGTGTTACAGGTGTTGTATTGTTACACGTGTTATGCTGTCGTTACACGTGTTACAGGTGTTGTATTGTTACACGTGTTATAGGTGTTGTATTGTTACACGTGTTATGCTGTCGTTACACGTGTTACAGGTGTTGTATTGTTACACGTGTTACAGGTGTTGTATTGTTACACGTGTTATGCTGTCGTTACACGTGTTACAGGTGTTGTATTGTTACACGTGTTACAGGTGTTGTATTGTTACACGTGTTATGCTGTCGTTACACGTGTTGCAGTTGTTGTTACACGTGTTACATGTGTTATGTTGTCGTTACACAGGTTAAAGGTGCTGTGCTGTTACACATGTTACAGGTGTTGTATTGTTATACGTATTACAGGTGTTGTGTTGTCATTACACGTGTTACAGGTGTTGTGTTGTCATTACACGTGTTGTTACGCGTGTTACAGGTGTTGTATTGTTACACGTGTTACAGGTGTTGTATTGTTACACGTGTTATGCTGTCGTTACACGTGTTACAGGTGTTGTATTGTTACACGTGTTACAGGTGTTGTATTGTTACACGTGTTATGCTGTCGTTACACGTGTTACAGGTGTTGTATTGTTACACGTGTTACAGGTGTTGTATTGTTACACGTGTTATGCTGTCGTTACACGTGTTGCAGTTGTTGTTACACGTGTTACACGTATTATGTTGTCGTTACACAGGTTAAAGGTGCTGTGCTGTTACACATGTTACAGGTGTTGTATTGTTATACGTATTACAGGTGTTGTGTTGTCATTACACGTGTTACAGGTGTTGTATTGTTACACGTGTTTCACGTGTTGTGTTGTTACACGTGTTACAGGTGTTGTGTTGTCATTACACGTGTTACAGGTGTTGTGTTGTCATTACACGTGTTGTTACGCGTGTTACAGGTGTTGTATTGTTACACGTGTTTCACGTGTTGTGTTGTTACACGTGTTACAGGTTTTGCGTTGTTGTTACACATGTTACAGCTGGTGCCGCTGTACGTGATGGACATACTGGCGGGTACACCTGGAGTTCCTGGCATCTTCGTGTCCAGCCTGTTCAGTGGCAGTCTCAGGTAACACGTCCGCCGTTGTAGCTGCGCATATTACAGCAGCTGAACACAGCGCTGCCCCGGTTCATAACCAGACATAAAGGCAAGCTGGAGTTAAAATCAATGCTGACAAAATGGAAGCCCAGAGCTATGTCCGGAGTTTCTGTTTACATTCTCCAAGTATCTTACCCGTTACTATAGCTCCTGGAATATGACAACAAGGGTGAGACTGTTGGTTCATTTAAATGACAATTTGAACAGTGTTTGCGTTCAAATTCTAAACCCTTGACGACTCAGGTGAACCAACGTTTTAATTAATGTAATCAACTAGGTATTGACAGTGTATATGTATTCTCATAACACATTGATGATATTTATATCCTAGTTTATACCAATAATGATGATGATTTTGCATCTCTGGTGTTCTACGCGTTATATTGAATATCAATCAGGTCGTTTTATGTGTATGAAATAGAAGGGTACCATGGCAGCTTTGTCAAACAACGAAACGCTTGTTAGCCTGTCATAGAAGTGTGTTTAAGCAATACTGTTGTGTAGCTCCATCTCCTGGTAGCCATTTTGTTTTTTCTAAGGTTGCAATATGTGCGTTGTATTTACTGCTCAAAGTTATCTTTAATCAATACCAGTGAACTCGGGATTAATCTGGTAACTCCTGGTTGCAAGAAACACAGGTATGGTGCTTACGTACAGAAACAATGGATCGTAATCAGTACGAAAAGGGGATCTTAGCACGCCCAAGGGATGCAACTCTGCACAAGGACTTGCGGCCCGTTAGACGAATCGGCCAACCGCGCACACTGTGTAAAGAAACTAGCAGGGCTGCAGTTTCCTAATGTGATGTTCGCCCTCTCTCCGCCAGCTCGCTGTCCAGTAACCTGAACGCAATGGCGGCTGTCATCCCACAAGACATCGTTAGACCCTACTTCCTTCCTCACCTCACAGACCGGAAGGCCACCATCATGTCAAAGGTCATAGGTCGGTAGTATACAACGACTACCTCATCTCCCAACCGTAATGAATAAGCATTCCTTCACACCTACCTACTTAGCGTATGTCCACTGGCAGACGGTGTCCTCTACAGCCATATCAATTTATATCCACTACCAGACAGTGTCCAGTCTAGCCTTATTAACTTTTGTCCACTGCCACTTATGTCCCAGTGTTCTCTCTAGCGTACCTCCACTACAAGGCGGTGTTCTGTCTAGCCTTATTAACTTTTGTCCACTGCCACTTATGTCACAATGTTCTCTCCAGCGTATCTTCAATGCCAGACAGTGTCCTCTCTAGCCATACTAATATATCTACTCTACCACTCGGTGTCGTTTCCAGCCATTCTATTCCGTCCGCTTTTGAGAACACACGTTTGACTCGAATTAGTGAGTGAGTGAGTATGGTTTTACGCCGCTTTTAGCAATATTCCAGCAATATCACGGCGGGGGACACCAGAAATGGGCTTCACACATTGTACCCATGTCGGGAATCGAACCCGGGTCTTCGGCATGACGAGCGAATGCTTTAACCACTAGACTACCCGACCGCCCCTGACCCGAATTAATATTGGCATATGGTGTGTAGTGCGGTACTTGTACGTGAGAGTATATATGTGTTGCTACAGACATGTGGCATTTAGACGCGTGAGTGGTAGTGTGTGTTGTGGTATTCTTACGTATTGGTTCGAATGACGTTTCGCCCCGATTACCGTACCCAAATAAACAAACATATAACTGGAGTACAGTTCAAAGAGGCATTAACTCAACCAACTCACTATACATACAAGTACAGGAATGCGATGTGTAATTTATAGGTGCGAGTAATTAAGGTGCACTCGTATGTATAGATGTGCGGTGTGCTATTTATACGGATATGTACACTGTATGTGTTGTATACATACTATAGTGCAAGTCCAATGTTGATGTTGACATGTTTTATTTGTATGTTCGATGTAGTACTTTTGTCTGGAGCAGTGATGATTGTCCTGGCGTTCATGGTGTCCAAGATGGGCACGGTGTTACAAGCCTCCTACAGTGTCTACGCCATCATCAACGGCCCCATTTTCGGCGTCTTCGTTCTCGGCATGATCTTCCCGTGGGCGAACAACATTGTAAGTCCTGCATACATGTATGTGCATCTGAGAGGTCAATAAATACATTATTTGTTTTCTGTATTGTTATGTTACATAATGTTACGTACATTTGTCGACTGATGTTAACATATTTGAAATCTTCATCTTCAGGGTGCCATTGTTGGTTTCTGCGTTTCAACGTTGTTCATGTTCTGGGTGGGCATCGGAGCTTTCGTTACCAAGGCAACCACAAGCGTTAAGTCTCCTGTCCTCACTCAGGGTTGCAACTGGAACGTCACAAACACTACAACGACGGCGGCTGATCTTTCGACCATGCCAAGCAGCAACGTGACACATAGTCTTGCCCAATCCTCAGAATCAAGGTAATATCAAGGTAGCAATCATTTGCTTCTCCGAGAACATTAAAGACCACTTAAACAATTTCGAATACCATTGTTTATATAGATAGACTTCAACAACAAGTACATTTACACAACAACAGATACCAATGGAATGTTTATACACTACAGTTACACTTCCACAGCAACGGATATACATATATAATTTTTTAATTTGAAGTTTACACGATATACGGCTTTTCCATTGGACGAGAGGTCGGTCACATTACCGCGAAATTGACGTTCATAAGTGTATGGACGACACAATTTGACGTTCATACGTTTTTCACGAGACCGTGTTCTTGAAATGACGTAAACACTAACGGACTACTTCCACATTCCTGGAGAAATCCCTGGGAATTCCCTAGCACGAAAACATACATAAACATTATTTCTGATCATTAAGAACCTTTAATCTTGGTCTCAGAATTTTAGTATACATTGAGAAACGTAAGAGAGCTTGACTGCATGATTGTTCACGAATTTCTTGCTACGGCCCATCCTAATGAACAAACGAATAAAATGCACATCCAAACTATCGTCAGTATCGACTCGATCTGTGTCTAGTCTGATAGTGATTGTCTCCAGCAATCTACGAATTTACCTTGGTGTCTGTTTGACGCATCTTAAATCACCTTTCAATAATTGGTCAGTTGATCAATGATGACTAACACATGTAACCGCCACAGGTTCATGAACAACTTCGGAAATCCTCCCGTCACGTTTATCGTGTCGGCCATTTTTACGTCTTGTACCTGATGTAAATGTATTACGACGCGCTGTCATTGTGACTGACTTACTGAGGTAGTTCATTACAGACCTTTCTCATCTAATGGGGATACACATGTGTTGCGTAAGATGTTTCTGAAGAAAGCTCCGACGTTCATACAGTTTGGCCCTCACTCTATGAAGGTTCATACTCCAATGAACTCACACAAAGTGAAGGTCAATTCTTAATTATACACTAAACGTACACTTCAACAGCAATGGTTATCAATGTTTATACACAAGTTACACTTCCACAGCAACAAATACCAATGTTTATGCACTACAGTTACACTTCCATACCAACGGTTATCAATGTTTATACACTGAAGATTCACTTCAACAGCAACGAATATAAATGTTTATACACTATTGTTACACTTCAACAGCAACAAATACCAATGTTTATACACTTAAGATTCACTTCAACAGCAACGAATATAAATGTTTATACACTATAGTTACACTTCCTCAGCAATTGATATGAATGTGTATACAATAAGTCAACACCAACAAATACCATGTTTATACACTATAGTTACACTTCCTAAGCAACAACAAATACCATGTTTATACACAAGTTACACTTCCACAGCAACAAATACCATTGTTTATGCTCAAGAGTTACACTTCCACAGCAACGGATAGCAATGTTTATGCACGGAGGATTCACTTCCACAGCAACGGATACGAATGTGTATACATTAAGTTACACTTCCACAGCACAGAATATAAATGTTTATACACTATAGTTACACTTCCGCAAGGACGGATACCAATGTTTATACACTATAGATGCTTCTCCACAGCAACAGATACCAATGTTTATGCATTATAGCTACACTTCCACAGCAACGGATACCAATGCCATGTTTACACACTATTGTTACACTTCAACAAAAACGGATACCTATCTTTATACACTACAGTTACACTTCCACAGCAAAGGATATCAATGTTTATACACTCTAGTCACACTTCCACAGCAACGGATGCCAATGTTTATACACTATAGTTACACTTCTACAGCAACGGATATGAATGTTTATACACTATAGTTACACTTCCACAGCAACGGATGCCAATGTTTATACACTATAGTTACCCTTCTACAGCAACGGATATGAATGTTTATACACTATAGTTACACTTCTACAGCAACGGATATGAATGTTTATACACTATAGTTACACTTCTACAGCAACGGATATGAATGTTTATACACTATAGTTACACTTCCACAGCAAAGAATACCAATGTTTATACGCTATAGCTACACTTCCACAGCAACGGATTCCAATGTTTATACACAAATTATTGTTCCATTGCAACCGATACCAATGGTTATAGACAAATTATACTTCAACGACGGGCCCTGGTTATGTCAGTGTCAGGTTAGCCTCGTGTCAATATTATCAGTGATACTGGTTGATGTTACAACTTGACTTTCTCTATTCTCAGCGACCCGTTCTACAGAATGTACACGCTCAGCTATCTGTATTACACCCCAACAGCCATGGCCATCCTCGTTATCGTGGGACTCATCGTTAGTCTTATAACAGGTTTGTAAAGCACGACCTCATCTTCATGTTTTTGTTTCCATAAACAGGTGCAGCCACTACTGCATGCCATATTGAAACTCTCCGTGAGTTAGTGTCGTCATTGTAACAGGACATAAGGACCCTCTCTTTGAATTAGCGCCGCCATTGTTGCACGACATATTGACCGTCTCCTTGAATTAGTGCCGTCATTTAAGCAGGACATATGGACCCTCTCCTTGAATTTGTGTCGTCATTTAAGCAGGACATATGGAGCCTCTCCTTGAATTTGTGTCGTCATTTATGCAGTACATATGGACCCTCTACTTAAATTTGTGTCGTCATTGTAACAGGAAGTATGGACCCTCTCCTTGAAGTAGTATCGTCATTGTCGCAGAACATATGGATCCTCTCCTTGAATAAACGTCGCCATTGTACCAGGACGTATGGACCATCTCCGTCAATTAGTGTCGTCATTGTAGAAGGACATAGGGGTCCTCTCCTTGAATTAGTGTCGTCATTATAGCCATATTCATCATTGACCCGGACCTTTAATTCTTACCGACGTTGTTGCAGGCCATATTGACCATCATCATGAATAACTATTGCCAGGAACTATTAAGTCCTTGTAAATGTGTGTGCATGTGTTCGACGGACCGGCGCAAGAGAGTCAAGACACCGCTTGTAGATTTAGGGATTCACAGTAGAGGGGGACATGAAGTCAAGTTTTGGCTGGTTCCTCTTACTATTGATAAAGGTATTAGTACTGGAAAAAAGCGTCGCTTCGATGTACGCAGAATTGTCTTCCCATAAGTGTTTCGATGCCAACCAAGTACTTTAGTCTATAGATGAGTGAATGATTATAGTTTTACACCGCTTTTAGAAATACCTCAGCAATATCACGGCGGGGGACACTAGAAATAGGCTTCACACATTGTCTCAATGTCGGGAACCGAACCCGGGTCTTCGGCGTGACGAGCACACGCTTTTCACCACATGGCCACCACATGGCCCGTCTATAGATGACATAATAAATTGACATTTACGTTTTGCAGCATGTTTCACTTGAAGCCTGGCTGGCATATCAGTTTCAAGAATCTCAGGTTGATAACTCCATGTTACGTGTAATGGTTGTTCCATGGCAGGACCCCGAGAACCCTCGAGTATTGACCCTCGTCTCATCTGTCCGCTGTTCGACTGTCTCTTCCCCTGTTTGCCGGAGAAGATCCTCAAACCCCTCAGATTTGGGGTCAACCACAAAGGGGTCAGTCAATGAGATTGATACGTAATCGTGTAAATGTGTTTGAAATGCTAATAACTGTTGTAACCTTATAACCATTGATACCATTTTTGTAAAGTCCAGAATACGCTACTACTGGGATGAAGGTGAATCACATTATATAACATCATCGTGCATGCTCACCACATCATTATAATGCCTATATAGCGCCTCAGCTTACTGCATGAACATAATATCCCTTTCCAGATGAAGTCGTCATGCGTTGTGTTTTTTGGTTCCAGAAATACGACTTATCAATGCCTAAGTCAGAGGGTCCTCTTGAAGATCCACCAGGTCGGCATCGACCAGATGTTTTCTCAGTTCCAGGAGATGAATGCACGGATAACAACCTGCGCTTCCAGGATGACCAGCACTCGCTACATAGCGACACAGCTGTGTAGCACACACACAATTGTCCATCACCGACATTTACAACCTGCATAATAAATACCAAGTCACTCATACTTAACTTGGACAAACAGGCAACGTCCAATGAGGATCCTTGTTTATTCTTTCTGACAGAATAAATGGTGCAAGGTCATAGTAATTGGTGATCACCTCAAAGCCTTCAGTAACGAGGGAATGTAATTCGAGAGAAGGTTTTCCAATACCGTGTCTGCTTTTGGTTTAAAGGATTTGGATGCTTTATATACAGTGTTAACCGCAAGAAGCTGACGTCAACTTATTTTTCTGACTTCATTTTCCTCAACTCATTTGTCATGTATGCAGCAGAATAAACTTCTTTAATGATAATAATAATATGGTAACTTAAACAGCATGTATGTTAATAGCGCTTGACAAGATAAATCCAGTATTTTGGTTGTCGTCACACCATAAAATCTTGAGATCTTCAACAGAAGTCCCCTCTAGTGACAGTTATCCTCTAACTCGTTGTTAGGTAAATTGTCTGCCTCTGACAAATGCCTGTGTGCATGCGTAAGGCGGGAACGTATCTGCAGGATCTAACATACAAGGCAAAACATCAGCTACGTCCCACCAAATAATGGAGGAATCTAGAGATGATTGGTCCAACTCCTTTCAAATAGTTGAATTGGTGATGGATCGTCCGAATGTTGTGCCAGGGATTCCTCTGATGCTCCCTTCCCCCGAACATCATCTTTACACAGACGCATCCCGCTCATGGGCTGGGCAACAGTCCAAGGAGAACGACTGGCTCACGAGAAGGACCTTAACATCAACTGTTAAGAGATTAGGGCATTTTTGCACACACTCAGTAGACTGAAACAGTGATTAAGACAGTTGTGATAGCTACATACAACATAACGGTGGTAGAATATATTCAAGGGGGAACGAGTTCAGAGAATGTTATGAAGGAGGCTATAATGGGAGGGGATTTCTGTATACGCATTTCCACAATATCACTCCTAGACAGAGTTCAGAGGAAGTTGGATGCCATAGATTGCGTCATGATCCGGAGGTGGCGTCATTGGAGATCATCGACAGAAACTGAAATGACGTCATCAGAAGCGAAAGTGACGACACAGGAATGCCAACATAACAGTCATTCAGAGGCAGTTATCAGATATTGTGCAATTTCTCTAACGTATCTCACCATTAGTTGATTTTAACTACACCAGTGCCAGCTATCTTAGGATTACCAGATGTCAGTACCTACCGACTGGTGAATTCTGGCAATGGGAGCTAACATATTTCCAAGAAGTATCAAACTGTAGTATCATTATTAATTATTCAAAGAAAACTACCCCTGTGCATAGTGCGTGTGAGATAACCAATGATGATTAATGCTTACTTGAGTCATCAATCACTTGACGGTGCGATATTCCAGCTCACCCCTTTGCATATCAGCAGCAGCTTCACCTAAATTTGGACAGGTGGTGTCTGTCCAAATTGACAGCTTAAAATGTCCCACATATGTTAATTGGATTAAGATCTGGACAAGGAAGTGTCTCGATCCCATTCTGACTTTCGCATTCCAAAACAGTCCGTGAGGTCCAGTATTATCATCCCTGAAGACAGGTCCAGTGATTGCAAATCTGGGGCATATCTGATGTCATGCTGATATCAAGATACGTTCTGATTACCATGCACAGCGATCACGTTAATTTCCAATTGAAAGAAACACATCCCCATACCATTACATAACATTCACGGAGCTCGATATTTAATATTCAGTTCAATATCGGATACAGGATCACCCAGGTGGTGAAGTTTTCCTTACCTTGTTTTTTAAGTGACTTTTGTAATGATTTCAACACCCCTTCGGTTCAGCAAAGTGTATCCACCTGGCGAGTAGATGTCGGTAATCATGTCACTTAAGGTAACACTCTGTGCTACGCTTGATCCCGTAGACAACGTAGTCTGAACCATCTGATTTCCGCCAAAATAAAATATCTACACAGAATCTTGTTTAGTTGAGTTAGTGGGGCCAATTTCTCAGCCTTTCTTGTGTCTTTTAGGGAATACAATTTAGAAAATATATTTGGGAACTAAATTAATGCTCAATTTGTTGCTTGGATTCGGGTGGTCAAAAAGTCGTCAAACAGCAAGTCACCCAGCACAGACGCTGTAAACCCGGACTTCATATTGTTGATCTCGGCGCCCGAGAAACAGTTTCTGGCAACACTCGCAATATGAATCTTAAAACTTCAATCAGGCCATTTGTAATTTTAACAACAAAGATATTAAATGTGTTCAGAGGTTGAGGGGGGGGGGGGGGGGAATCAAACGTAAACCACTCCCCTTAACCAAAACCATAATCATTTGTGAAAGGAATAGCTTCGAGTTTCACCTTCAATATGCAGGTAAAATCTGATCGTGTTCGTTCCCCCGAACTTGTCAGCACAGGTCCACCATGTCAGTGCGCGTGAGACAACGCAAAATAATATAAATTATAAACTGATGATTGTTTGTTTCTCATTTGTATAGGTCAGTGCCCTTACCGTTTTTGGTGTTTAATTTAGAGAACGGAAGACCTGTTATTTCTTGCCAGAAACATTTCACAAGCTAATCTAATCAGTTTTGTTGAAGTCAAAGCAAGCCACCACGTCACCCACTGGACTATTTGTGGGAACACCTCTCTTGAACTCAACCAGTAGTTCATGTGGAATTCAAGTATACTGTTCAGTTGTGAGTATGTTATTGTTCGTGCTATAACTGTATTTTTGTCAATTATCAGTTTACTTTGTGATTATGATTGCAATGTTATGAAACTGAATAAATTTCGTGGTCAAAAGGTAAAAGTCGATGTTATTATGTGCAATTTAGTTGTTTGTATACTGTTTGTGTACGTACAGAGGTGTCACAACCACAAGAATTGCTTCCTGCAATAATCATGTTTATCATACAACCAACAGAATATCGACAATCGATATCTGAAGACGGTTTACAGACAATTTAATTTTCAACCAAGATATATATCGCAGCACTCAGCCAGTTTGCCAAACACAAATGTTCGCAATGTGTCACTTTATGTACAGCATTTGGTATTTTCCTACACGATCCAGTTTTACACAGGTATAGACACAGATGTGAATTTAATTACGTAAACATGAAATACTGTTACGTGACTTGGTGATAACACATTTCTCGGTGGTTCGAATGGTCACAATCTGCACTGAAGTAATGTACTCAAGCAATCTCTAGCACCAGCCGGGGCTCCAGACGCCATTGAAGTTGACTGGGTTAGATCGAGGGTCAGAGGGTGGGTCCATTGCTGGCATCCGAGTCCCATTCTTCTGGGCCAGCATCTGCAGCAGGAAGTTGACAAGGTCGGGGTTGTCCTTGGATATGTCCTGGTGCTCAGTGGGGTCGGCGCTGATATTGAACAGCATGACGCTAGGGAGGGGAGAGTCGTCCATGATTAGGACGTCTAAGTCAGACCCAGCAGGTGGGTACCAACCTGCATGTGAGATTTCACAAACCATCAACTTCAGGTCTCCCGACCTGAGAGCTGCAGCATAGTGGTCGTCGTAGATGTTGTAGACAAATTCCTTCCTGACGCTGCCACCTCCGTTGATGATCATGTTGACCTGACTCAACCCGTCTATGTCCAGCTGGCTGGAGTCTCCCCCTGCTATGTCCAGTAACGTGGGGTACCAGTCCACAGCGTGGAACAGACCAGGGTGAGTGTAACCTTTCTTTTTCAGAAGAGTCCCACTCCTCTGGTGCCTCCCTCCCATAGTGTGGCCTTCCCGCCCATCAGAGGCCAGTTATTTGCTCCATGTCTGGGAGGCCCCCCATTGTCTGTTGTAAACACAAGAAGTAGGTTGTCCATGAATCCATAGTTCTCGAGAACAGTGGTCATGTTGAGCACAGCTTCACCCAAAGCACTTACCATGCCACTGCAAACCATCGTATTCAAATCATGTATATGACTGTACTGGTCTGAATATTTGGCGGGCACCTGCAGTGGTCCATGTACAGCTTGGAACGGCAGATATAGATACATCGGCTTGGATTTGTCATGGTTCATTATGATATCAATGGCTCTCTTTGCAAACAGTTGTGTAGAGTACTCTCCTTGAGCGCCCTTGTAAACATCTGTCATGTTCCTGAAGTCATAACCATAGTAATCAGCCACCTCGTCCCTGACATGTGTGAAGTAGTCCTCCATACCTGCATAGTAGCCAATGAAGGTGTCAAAGCCTCTGTTGGTGGGCGTGTACTTCCAATCACAGAAGCCTAGGTGCCATTTGCCGACCATGTGGGTGTCATAGCCGAGGGTCTTCAGCCTCTGTGGGATGGTGGTCAGATTAGCTGGCATGTACTTGGGCTGTTCTACGAAGACAACTTTATCCTGGAGCCCTGTGTGGTAGGGAAACTTGCCTGACATGAAACAGTTTCTGGAGGGGGAACACAGTGGCTGGACGTAGGAGGAGTTAAGGATGACACCACTATGGGCGAGGTGGTCAAGTGTCAGGGTCTTGATGTCGGGGTTAATCCAGCCAACATCATTCCAGCCAAGATCATCGGCCACAATGAAGACAATGTGTGGTTTGTCTGCAGCAGTGCTGATTTTTAAACACGAAGTGACTATAATAGCGATGACAACTGAAAGCTCTATGTTAATGAAGTACATGTAACACCTATACATATGGTGAGACAGTATATATATCCAATGAGAAGGTGTAATCTATATCTCCTGCAGCGATTAGGTCAATATTTGTTTCACTCTTATCAGGTCACGTTACATGTGCAAGGCTACATTGTTATCAGCGTTTCATTATTGTTATAAAATTTAATACACAGACGTCCGTGAAAATACTTATTTTCCTGTAGACGGACTCAAAAGTAAATTCAAACAGAAGCAAGATCGCTCCTCAAATACATGGGGTGTATTTGTTAGATTGTGTGTTGTTCTATGGTGGGAGGCAAATGGTTTAGGTTTTCGAGAGTTCATCCTAAAACCAGAGTTTGATTCCCCCAACATGTATACCATGTTTGAGACACGTTTTTTTGTAAGGCATTTGTTCGGCTCCTTCACGGATTATGGAAAATAGAATGCGAAAAGCCAGACCCACTTACTCATGTAATAACAGTCGAAACAGACATGACCAGATGACTCACAATCAACAAACAGTTGATCGATGACAGATGCGAATAGCACCAGAACTGTCAGAAATAGGCCATAACTGGCCAGTAATGAGTGATTGTCAGTTCTGGGAAGTGAGCTCCCAATTCCCGGATACTGCGAAATTCACCAACCGGAAAGCGAATAAAGGGAATTGAGCGACGAGAGAATGGCCAATTTCAAGTGGGTAAGTCGACTGACCAATGGTACGTTATGATGTAGATAGTTGTGATGTAGGAACCCGGGGTTTGCAACGAAGAATGGACCTTATTTTAGTCAGTGTGGTGCGCGCTGTCTCTCGTTTTGTTGACACTTTCTTAGGCGCCAGAATTTCGACTGAGATTGAAGCCCTGCATACGATGTCTCTTAACTAAGTGGCAAGCAGTTCAGGTAAAAGTACGTCTGTTAATCCAGATGCAGGCTATTTCTGAGCACAAAAGATCACAATTTCATAAAAATTAATAACAAACGAAATAACGTTGGATACAACATCTATGCTAGCATTTGCATGAAACATGCATTTGATGCCCTTGTACACAGTGCGATCAAAGTCATCAAATACACTGCATAAGCATAAAAGGTCTTACACAAGTCTTTATTCATTCGTTTTTATTTTCATTCATTTTCCTCTCCTAAAATTCTGTTTAATTGCTTATGGTATTCATTCATTCAACCTTCGCCTCGGGAACCTATAATGCAAAGGCACTGCACCTCACTGGATACATGTAATTCCGTGTTATCTGATTTTTCATGTAGTGATGCCATTTGTCATCAAGCAGTGTACAGCATGATCTCAGTGTAGTATTTGTTGAAATATAGGTCATTATTTTGATAACATAAACGAGATATTTCACAGACTCTGGGCGTGTCAGATACAACAATGGTATGTAAAGCAACGAAAGCAATGATATATTTTCAAAATAACATTTCAGATCATGCTCTAGTTTTGAATTGGTCAGAGTTTTGAAATGGTCAGAGCTTAGATTTAAAGTAAAATATGTTGTGGCATGAGAGAGGTCGCCGCCTGATCACATTTTGATAAACACACGCCACACCTGTGTTTCATGCACACGATAACATCTGGATGCATAGTAGTCAGATAGAGATCTTTAAAAGTACAAAAGGGAAGAACGCACCTTTAGGTTTCTGGACACACCTTCTGTATCCCAGAATTATCGTGATTTCTGCAAAGGCTGTACAAGATGCTTGCGGATGGATGTGACGGTTGTTAATTGCTGCTGAAAAACGTACTACGAGTGTACACGTTGACAAACATACACGACTATGCATGCCATCTCCCGCCTCAATATATAGACACAGAGCTACCAAACATCACCAAAATAACCACACACTGACATAAATATTTAGTGAAGTTTACTCACTTCCTAAGTGAATTTTCCTTACTTGTCAGGAGTTTTTTCAAACCAGTTCGTAAATATTAAGACTAGCATAGGTTGCCCATCGTAGACAAGTACAATGTATAAAACAGTCAGTTGCGATTACTACCAATCTTTCTTGCTAATTTTGCATCCCTGTTCAAAGCTGCTGAATACAATTTGCAAAGGAAAACGTGAATGACATAAACAATATAGGTGACATAAATTTATTTACACAGTACTACGAATAAGTAAATATTTAAATGAAGTGCTCACATGATTTGATGCACTGCGCGAAGTAAGACCTGTTTTATTACAGTATAGGTCTTGATTATTGATCAGATCGTCATTTTATTTCAAGCAAATGCAAGGGATATAAGAGGTGGAATCTGTTTGGTCAAAAGGAGGGACACAGGGGGGGCATTACTCATAATAGCCAATGGTGGCGCTGCAACAGAGCTTGGAAAATCAAGCCTAGTTCGGCAAACCTGGAAACTGAATTTATATATCTGAAAAATAGAACAGAGCTCTTTGTAGCCAGTATATTCTGTGTGCGTCTCCCTTGCACGAGGAATATGTTCTTTGCTGTTGTTCCACGAGCACCAAGCTCCCCCGCGAGCTGATATTTACAATGCATGGTACACAGCTCTTCATAATTTCTTGGGTTCCTAAAATAGAATTTTATGAGTCGTGTGTTGTTAATATAAGCTGACGGAGATTATAGGAAATGTAAAGGCCCGGACAAGGATATATATGTTTACCTGCTTCTTTTCTCGTCAAGAGTTGATTGCTTAAAATATAAACTTTGTTATAGTGTCAAGAAGTATAGTATTTTTTTTAGCTTTTAAGGAATATTTGGTGGGCCTCGGCTACATTATCTTTAAGGAATGGAGAGTTACTCAGGCTTTGCCCTCTACATAGGATACCCCTTCTCTCCACCGCTGCAACGTGACATCTACAAGGTAGGGTAGTAAATTGGCTGTTATATAAGAACCTTCTGGCCGCTGTTACTTATCAAGTTAGTAGAAAAACCTTTTTGTCAGTGAATGGAGACGTTCAACAACACTGACCTCACTACATACACATGATCACACACATAATTATATGGCTCACTCAGTTCAACTGACAACCACATAACACTGGCCTGAATGGACACAGCACACGCACATGCACACAGCACAGCACAGCACAGCACAACAGACGACACTACATACTTATGCAGAGATTTCTATTGGATTTAGTGAGGGTTTTGTCGCTGTATTTA